GAGCTAGAATGCTCCTCTTCGAACTCGATCTGTCTTTTTATGACACAAAACGACCCTGAAAATCCCAGGTCGCTAGCTCAATTCGTTCTCGAGTTATCGTGACGACAGACAAACAGACACACACACACACACACAGACAGACGCGAAACTTTTTGATCATCACTGGAGTAATAGGCTTCGCTAATCGCTCAGCCAAAAATATAAGCAAAGCAGACACGTTTCACAAAAAAACACAGTAAATTTAGTCCTTTGTCTATAACTTGCATTCCTCCCGTGTTGGTCGGGTCTCTGAAAGAGAGCAAACCAGGTACCAGGTTACAAACAGAAGTCAATTGAAATAGGGGACTCCGGGGCCCGACTAGACCGGAAGGAGAAGAACAAAAATCGTCGGGCCGGTCGGGCGCGGGGAGGAGCGGGGTACTGCCCCGCCCCTCCCCGCGCCCAACGATTTTTGTTCTTCTACTTCCGGTCTAGCCGAGCCCCGGAGTACCCTATACAGCTGTTTTTTACATGCATGAATACCTTTTGGATGAATGATCCTATAATGATTTCGCATGTGAGTCATGTTGCCAGCCTTGGGCACTTTGCAGATTGGGCTTACCAGTTCAGCGTTCTTATTTTCTTTCGGAGGGTTATCTCGTTAAGCTTCTCAAGAAGACATTGGGTTCCTGAATGGACTCTTTGTGTGTTTTCTTTATGTGATCTCTAACTCGGTACAGTTTGCACCCCCCCCCCCCCCCCTGCAAAACCCTTACCACAACCTGTTTTAGTACATTTAACTTGGTATCGGGCTCCTCTGAATTCAGTTTTATCTAGAGGTTCTTCATCGGAGCTGATTTCCTTAAGATCCATGACGTCATCTTTGTTTTCCACGACTGTGTCGTCACCAATGTCGAATGTCTGAAAAATTATACCCAAATTAGTTGGTCGATAGAGTGGGAGGTAAAGTGAATGCGAATATTGTAAAATAGGAGAATACCTCTGCATCTCCTGAGGTGTCTAGTGGCAGCTGGGGAAGTACACTAAGATCAGCTAAAAAGGTGTTGCTTTTCAGAACCGTTGCCAGTCCAACATAATCCAATTCAAGGTAAAGAGGTAGCAGATATGGCTTCACCAAAGCAATGAATTCCTTCAGATCAAGTTGAATCTGATCTTTACCTCTACAGTAAACAGATTTAAAATAAAACTTTAGTTATATTTCAATGAAGCACAGTACAGCTTCTACTGACATTACTTACCAACCCCCTTAACAAGCATAAACATGTTGGTGAGAAAATGGCTGGCTCCACCCAAAATGGATCAGCAAAATTAATTGCATCTGAAATGGACCAGCCAGTTTTAAAGCTCCTGACCGAAATTTTCGAAAACCTAAATGGGGAAAGATAATACATATCTTTGACAACAACACAAACGTCCTCCGCTTCGGGACCACTCGGCTGAATGGCAGCCTCATAGAACCTTCCGAGCGAACACCTGCTCACTTCTCCGGAGCTAAGAAATGATGGCTCGATGTGACGCGACGAGCAGTGTTCTGTGCGAAGCGCTCCTAACCGGCTCCGGGAAGTGGCACAGAATCGGAAACGGGTTCATCTCATCATCTCAATAGAGTGCGCCTAAACCCGGCAAAACGCCCGAGACTCTAACGTTAACTACTTTGTGGGAAATCGATCGCAAAGTTGAAAGTGTCGACTACTGGTGTACTGTCGACTACTGGGCCCCTTACCCTACCTATGTTTATGTCTTGTTTGCGTTTCTCTTTGTCAGTTCCCTAACAGTCAGTAGTTCATCTTATACGTGACTTACCTTTCCCTTTCATACAGTACAAGGCAACTGTTGGATGAGTACAACTCTTTTTATCCAGATGTTATATAAAAGTAATCTTCTAAAATCTTTAATTTGTTATTGTTATTAATTAAGAAATAATATTGAGTCTCTATATATTGTAATGGGTAGAGTTGTATTTGGAATGATAGTCCAGAGTCTTTTAAGAGCGATGTATTCACATCAAGCGCTGGTCACAGTGTAGCGCCAAGTCAGTGTTCTGCTGCCTTCCATTGCTCTATAAAAAGCAGGCGCCTCCTTTGACTCTGCGCCACACTGTGACCAGCGCTTGCTATGAATACATAGCTCTTAAAAGACTCAGAATTTTCATTCCCAATATCCCTCTACCCGTTGCAGTATTTCATTTTTGAATAGTATAGCGCCATGTGCAAATTATTCAAACTCTATAAATAGAATCAAATTACTAATTGTCACAATTCATTCAAATTGCACTCTCTCCAGCCATGTTTGCAAAGAGAAAATCAACTTCACTTCTGTTTCGGAGTCAGAACTGTGCACATTGTCAGTTATATCATACCCTTGAACTTATTCACCAGCCTTTATCACACCATTTGAATATTTACAACACCAGATTAAATATTTCCATTTCAAGATATCTGAAAGGTATCCCCACTTTGTAAACGTATGATGACGAATTGAGATCTCTTGTTAGTTCTCATACTTAGTCCTAATATTCAAACTTGCTTCTCATATAATCTTGAGTAACTAATATTATTGTAGAATTAGCAAATATCAATACTTACGATGATGGCTTTGCCTGGGTACACTTTCTGTAAAGTACCATGCAATATGGTTCCTCAGGTTTTCCGAGTTCAAATTGGTTGGGATGGGTACTGATTCATTTTTCAAAAAATGGAATACACCCATAGGCAAACAATCAGCCCACAGTCGAATCCGTTCTTTTGCACTGAGGCATCTTCTGGTGCAATGATTTACTCTTCCCAATTTAGTGAACTCTGGAACCGTTTACTTACGTTACTCAAATAAGAGTTTTGAAACATGTACATTAATATCTGGTAAGGAGGTTGTAGAAAAAAAAAAAGAAATTAAAATCAAGTTTATGAGGCAGTACAACAATATAAAAGGAATCTTACCTGAAGGTGAGTGGTCACACAAATTGAGTGTGTTTTGTGAAGTGGATCTAATACAATTATTGTCTGTTTGCCAACCAGTACAACGAAGAGTATCTAATGATCCCGATTTGCATGAGTAGGTACTATCCACAAATTATTGAATACTGCCCGTGAAGCAGAGATCTTCTCGAGTACACCGGTAAATCCGAAGACATCAATTGCCTCTAGCTCCAAACAACTGAGGCTGAATATTTGGGCCAACGGTTCGAACTTCTCGGCTTCAATAATTTTGTAGACAAGGTCGATAATAATGTCATTTAAGTCTTGTCTATGTCTTAGTGAGCCAAAGTCTTCAGAAGAAATTGATCTCTTGCCAATCTTGAAACTGTGACCTTGCTCAATGGGTGGAAAGTCGATAGGTTGTGACCATTGAATACCTGCAAGAATGCAAGACAGTGTAAAGTTTATTAGCACAGTAGTGTGATACTAAAGAAATGCCCTTTGTCTTCAAAAAGTGTTACCCTTTTTACCTGGAGTATGATCTCCATCACAGGCATCGTAAGTCTCATCTGTTTAAAATAGATAGAGAAAAAGTTGTATCACTCTCAGATGTTGCTCTGTAAAGATGAAACACTATTTCATCCAAAATTGTCATACAGTACCTGACTCCACAGCATGAACCTTTGTATCACTTTCAGGTGAGGCCATGATATTATCGGGCAAATAAGGGCTTTCATCATGGCCACCATTTATTTCCATGAAGACATTTTGTAGGTGTACGGAAAAGCTGGGTGATGCATGAGATACATTAAGAATATTTTCTGCATGCGAGAAACAAAAGAAGCAAGCTGTTAGTTTTCAACAATAGATGGGGGTTAGATGGGTAATTTTTAGCTTCCCGAAGCAAAATAAGTGGCTTCGTTTTGGCTTCGAATTGAAGCCTCCAGGCTACTATCCGGAAAAAGCCTCAGGCTGAGAAGGGTTTCAATTCTAGCCTGGATGCTACTTTTAAAAGAAGCCGGGAGGCTTCGTTTCGTAGCCGCTTAGCTACTTTTGTGGGGTCGGCCGGCCGGGCGGCGGCGGGGTTCCAGGTAGTCGGGCTTAGCCGACCGGCTTCGTCTCGAAGCCAGCCGGCTACTTTTAAGAGGCTACTCGCTAAAACTACAAAATTGTGCACAATATCACATTTTATTGGTATCACAAGACAAACAACTTTAAAAGAAAAACTGAAAATGCAACGAGAGGGGACCGGGGGAACTTCCTGCTTGACGCTCACGCACAAGCCTTGTCGTTCTTCTCGGTGTCCTCGGCGTCGGCCCGCGGCACCGCGGCCGGGGTGCAGTCGTCGCGGTGCTGGCGTCGCGGTGCTGGTGTCGCGGTGCTGGTGTCGCGGTGCTGGCGTCGCGGTGCTGGCGTCGCGACGACAGAAGCTGTCGTCTATAGGGCTTCCCGGCAAAACTGACTTAAAAACTACAGTGAACTCGGGAAAGTACCTAGTAGCACCAAAAAAGAGAAAAGCAGCATGAATATTTGTCTTTCGATTAAGAATTTGATGCTCAGAATTCATTTGCTAGATCATGATTGTGCTGCGCAGTGATACGTTTACATTTTTTAAACCCTTTTAGAACTTGGTTTGGTTAAATATGTTTTACTAAAAATGACCAGTCAGCCACTTGCAAGTGTGTAACTGGAAGTCAATACTTGCAAACATGTTTGTTGAGTAATTTGGAAAACTGTTATTTGAGTGTTCATTTGGAAAGAAGAGCACCTCTAGGATTCTAATAGTTCAGTTGGCATTTCCGATGTAGTGTGCATCCAAAACATTAAGGAAGTATTAGTAAAACTCTCAGATGTGCACAGCAAACATTGTGAGAAAATCTTCTCCTTTTGCCTATAATTTTATTTTTACCATATTTTCTTATGTAAGGCTTCGTAGTCCATTTCTGGCAGTGTTATTTTTTTGGTTACAAGTGAAGTGTAAAAGAAAATATCCAATTGTGAATAGAAAACCATGAATAGAGTGCAATACCGTAGAGTAATATTTCCTGGGGTCCAACTTCTTAAACTTTTGTCGTTCAGCTCAATGCGGAAGTTGTGACTTTCAATTTCTGACCAACGCTTTCTTTAGTTAAAGAAATTTTAGTCTAAATTATATCAGTCTCTATTAAAAACAATATTAGGATTGCCACTCTTGACCATTAAAGGTAAGGTTTGCAAGATTTTGCATGTATACTAGAAAATTTAAGATATGATATGAAGAAAAAAAATCCTTCTGTTTTGTTTTACATTTAATAGAGAAGCATGAAATAGATTCAAATCTGTAGATTTATACAGAGCAAAAGGTTTCATCATACAGCAAAGAGGACAAAATTATAAAAACAACCCAAATTTAAGAGCGCGTTCAATTTTTTTGTAATATAACTTGAATTTTATAGTATCTATAAAAGTATCCAGCAAACCTTCCCTTCAATGAAGATAAAAGGTCAAGAGTGACAATCCTAATATTATTTTTGAGAAAGACTGATAGAATTTACTACTACATATCCTTAAATTATGAAAGCGTTGGTCAGCAATTGAAAGTCACAACCAAGGGGAAATAGGCTTGAACTTCGGTGTACGTTCCCTTGAACTTCGGCGAACTTCGGTGAACTTCGAGAACTTCGGTGAACTTCGCGGAACTTCGACCGAAGTTCGCGCACTTCGACCTGGTCAAGTGATATGAAAGCAAAATTCTTCCTCTGTAATCTTTGTAATTCGGGCCGTAGATACCTGCTTTGAGTAAGCTCGAGATTCGCTTATTGTAAGCACTCAAAAATGCGAAGTGCAGCCGTAAATATGTACTAAAATATTTTGAACTTCAGTGAACTTCTAAGATTTATTTTGAACTTCGCGGAACTTCGACATTTATTTTGAACTTCGGGGAACTTCGACATTTATTTTGAACTTCGAGGAACTTCGACGCTTATTTTGTACTTCGGTGAACTCCGTGAACTTCGATGGATTTCGGTGAAGTTCGGAGAATTTCAGTGAACTTTGATAACATTTTACAAAGCGAACTTCACTGAACTTCGGCCGAACTTCAGTGAACTTCGGCCGAAGTTCATGAACTTCGACTTCGGGTGTACAAATTTTTGGAGCCTATTTCCCCTTGGTCACAACTTCGGCATTGAGCTAGAGAACAGAAGTTAAAATAGTTTGACCCCAGGGAATATTAGTCTGTAGTATTACACTTTGTTTATCTCTTCCTACTTACAATTGGAGGTTCACTTTGAACCTAAAAGAACACTGCCAGGAATCAAGTAACTATGGTAAAAATAAAATTACAAATACAGGAAAAAAGAAGGCTATCTTTTCAAATAATAGGGGTATTGACTGCTTTAATATTTCATGAAAATAACTGTAGCTCTAGTGAAGCAAGTGTCTTGGCCTGGCTAGAAGATAGACATTTTTGTGAACTCACCATATTCCACAGAAAGTCTGGCTCGGTCATCATGTGCTTTGGGCATTTGTAAACTACTGGTTGATCCTGAGAATAGTGCAACATATAAATTAGAACATGAAGGTTTTTAAGGTTTTTCTTAAAGAAAAGGATTGTAAGAGATCACTTAAACATAACTGAGAAGTAAACACAAAAATTTAGATTGTGAGGGAATAATAGAAATACTATGAGAAAACAAAACGTACCGTAAACCTGCTGCAGCAAATCATGTTGAGTCTACTTCTGATTCCAGCACATTTTGATTTGCATCTTTCTCAAAACACACTCCAAACGTAGACCCTCCGATTGGGGTTGGTTTTGACAATTGCAGAAGATATTGAAAACATATTCATGTCAATGTTTGTAGAGTAGGCCATGGAACTGATCATTTGATTTTGTGAATTAACGAGGTTCTGTTTTCGCGATCACTTTCCTACCATTACCATTTGATTACTTTTACTTGGAGAACGAGAAAAACCATTCCAAATGGTGAGAA